GCTCCTTCTTTCAAACATGACTGCAAGATTTTAAATAATAATAATAATGATAATGATAATAATAAAGGGCTGAGCATGTATCTCAGTGGGAAGCCCCTGGGTAAAAATCAAAAAACTTGTTGAAGGAAGAATAGTGATTTTTTTTTTTTTTTTAAATCTTTTTGAGACAGGGTCTCACTGTGCAGTTCAGGCTGGCCTTGAGCTCACTTTGTAGCCCACGCTAGTCCCGAACTCACAATGATCTTCCTGCCTCAGCCTCCCGAGTGCTGGGATTACAGGCGTGTGCCACCACGCCCGGCTAAGGAATAGTGATTATAAAATATGCTCCTTGCCTTTAGGAATCTAAGTTCCAAATCCAGGGCTCTTTCGCTATGTCCTCCTCTTTCCCAAGAAGAACAAAGGTGCCCTCACACTACTGAGGCCCTTCTACTGCCTTTCCAGATGGGGAGCCAATGCCTACGAGGATCCAGCTGGAGAGGAGGGTTCAACCTCTTTGAACAGCTGTGGGAAGCAAATGAAGTTCTCTATACCCACTGCCTGATCAAGGCGCATCCTGGGGCCTCCTCACTCCAAGACAGGTTGAATAGCCAAGGCTGCCACTGAAGGCCCCCAGGACTGGCCCTGGGTTACTGAGGAGGTTGGGCCTAAACCCAGGGCCTCATGCATGCTCAGTGGTATGGTTTGGGTCTAAATGTCCGCTCAAAGCCTCATGCAGTCATAGGTAGGGCTTTTTCAGAGGTGGTTGGATCTAGAGTGTGTGATGCTAGGATTAAGGGTGAGTGATTACTAAATCAGTCCACTGATTGGTTTGGCACCACCCTAATCCCAGTAACCTAGACAGAGTATAAAAGGGGCAGAAAGAACCTTGCTTGCTTTGCTACCTTCTGCCCACCATGGACTGTTTCTTCTCTGCAATGCCTGTCTGCCATGCCGTCCTGGCTGGAGTCAGCCGACTATGGACTGAAACCTCTACAAACTGTGAGCCAAATACACCTTTCCTTCCCTAACTTTGGGTGCTGGGCATTTTGTCTCAGCAGTGAGAAAGGTAACTAACACACTCAGCAAGTGTTCTACCACTGAGCTGCACCCACAGCTTGAGTCAGCCGCCCCAGTGCTGCCCCCTGTGGAGGAAAGAGCTGCAGGGCTATGGTCTCCAGGCTGCCAGGCCCAGCTCAAGGTCAGCCACAGAACCCAGGACTCCAGCTGGGTCACCACTGCAGTTCTTCCGGGAGGTTCATGCAGCCCTTACCCCTATCAAGCTTAGGGCTAGGGCTGAGGATACGGGAAAAGCGTGGCCTGAGGGCAGAGTTACACAGAGCAGCATGGAACCCAAAGGTCAGGTGAAAGGGACAGTGAGTCAGTGCCACTGTGGGTTACTCCGGAGCAGCCTGATCTCATCTGGGAACCTGACTACTTGTCAGCCTGTGACTTTGAGGAAGCTGCTCTGCCTCTCTTTGGAGCCTCAGTTTCCTCACCTCTACAGTGGGTAATAAAAATAACCACTGTGTCAGATTTTAAGAGATGACAGAATATCAAGGTCTAACCCAGAGCCAGTCAATTATGACACTGGTGTCTATACATAATGCCTTGGGAGTGCAGAGGGGAAAAGCAGGGTCAAGCAGGACGAGGCAGGCAAGGAAGGGAAAGAACTGACAGTGCCGCTGGATCAGAAAGAACGAGGCAGCAGGCTCACCCGGGGAGGCGGGCAGGACGGTAGAGGGAACAGCATGAGCCAGCAAAGGCACACACTCCCGGGCGCAGGGCTAGGCTGGGGTGCTGGGGGCGGGTGTATGTAGGGACAAGGGGAAGGCGGGCTACGGGGCCTGTCCAGCAGGGGGCGAGCTCAGAAGGCTGGAAGATGATTTGTTTCTGCCACCACTAAGCCACGCTGAACTGCGTGATCAGAAAATTATTCTCTTCCCAACTCACTGTCAAGCCTTTGATGCCATCAAAGGAAAGTCTCAGCTTTTACTGCCTAACACTGCGAACCTCACAAGCCTCAAAGGGACCCTTTCCACAGGCAATGTAACCAGCGGGACAGCTGTAAGGTTGTTTTTGCTTATCTGAGTATCTTCTACCAGGGCAAAGTGGTTTTCCACTTACAGAGGTGATACAAGTTTTCTTTTTAAAATATAGTTACTCATTGCCCAAGGATAAGGATACATTCTGAGAAATGTGTCATTATGTGGCTAGTGATTTCCTCCCTGTGAGAACATCACAGAAGACGCTTGTACAAACTAAGACCCATGACACCATCAAGCAATATAATCTTATGTGAGTACAGTCACACATGAGGCCCACCACTGACTGAAATATTGTTATGGGTAGATATGTGTATTTAAAAGTGAGTTGTTTAGCTGGGTGTAGTAGAATACACCTGTAATCCCAGCACTTGGGAAGCTGAGGCAGGAGGACCACCTCGAGTTCCAGGATAGGCTGGGCTATATAGTGGGTTCAAGGCCACTACATAGGAAGACCCTGACTCAAAAAAAGAAAAAAAGACTTGGTGACTATTTCCAAAGGAAAGTCTTAGGTCCGGACGTTCTGGCCCCTACAAGACTGACTTCGCCCTTCCGAGGGAAATCTCCCGAATCCTCACAATACTCCACATGCTCAGCCGACGTGGCTCGCTCAGTGCCCCGCATCTGTCCTTCCTCCTGCCACTTCCGCCTTCTCTTTGTTCCGGACATTAATCCACCCAAACTTCAGTGTGGGCTCCACTATCACCTGTCCAGGTCCTCCAGGTGGTGGGTACTCCCGATCCCTCCAACCATCTTGCAAAGCCCGGCCTCACCACGGAGGCCTGTCAGGCCTTCCACCCCGCACTGCCCTAGGCTGGAAAGCTGCAGCGGGCAGGACACACACCAGCCCGCATCCCTCTGTGTAAGGACAGCAGAGAATCACTCACACTGGGCCTCACCAGGAGACCCCTGACAGCCTTTCAGCCTGTCCCGGGGGGAAGCATGGAGGGTTCTGCAGAGGCTCCTGTTCTTTAGTCATTCATCCATCCTTTCCCTGAGCCTTCTACACAAGGACAAGGGGAGTAACACACATGCGTCCCACACTGCAGGGGAAAGAACGAAGCAGTACTGACGACGCGGCACGGGGCCAGAGAAGGAGGCGGTGGGACTGTGTGACGGAGGGCAGGCTCCACGGGGCTCGGGGTGCGGGACACCAACGTGGAGACGGAAGGACGAAGGGAATGAGTCTCTGCTGTCTTCTCTGAAGGCAAAACAAGATGCCTGGGAGGGAGGGTGCGCGCTGCACGCTGCTCCTCCACTCCCTGCCCTGTGACTGCGGCTCGGAGCCTGCATCACTCACTGGGTTCACAGGGCTGTCCACACACAGGGCTGGGAGGGATGGCGGGTGGGAGGCACAGAGGGCTCGGTCAAGCTCTCTCCAAACACAGGGATTACTGCTGTCATCGTTACTGCGCAGCTCACAGGACGCCAGAGGATTCCGGGCTGCCCCCAGCCCTGAGTCTGGCTAAGCTGAACAATAATCCTGCCTCACAATCAGCCCTGACCTGAAGGGGAGGAGAAACCGGCGGGTGCCAAGTCACCGCAGCTGCCAGGTAGACCGGCCCAGGTCCGACAGAAGGACACTGAGAAGCTGAGTCCTGGGGTCGTGTGGCCCAGGTGTGGGAGAGAAGGAAGTCGCACGGGGAGAGACATAGCTGAGGGTGTGGCTGTGGACAGCTCGGCACAAGAAGGCGACAAAGAACAGCCCAAGTTCCAGGGAACATCCTCTCCCCGCCGGCCCCCTCCCAAGCTGCTGCACAGAACTACTGAAAGGATTTCCAGCGGTGGATACAGAAGGGCTCTGACATTTACAGGCCACTAGATCTCTACAGGGCCAGCTGGGCATTTAAAAGCCTCTGTAAACACCATCCTGTTAGGGGAAGGAGCCAACCGCAGACCGGAAACCCCCGAGGTGTGAAAATACACACGTCACTTCTCAGCAGGAAGGAGCTGGGTGGGGCAAACTGAGATTAAGGCCTCAGCCCAGCCCCAGGGCCCAGTGGCCTAAGGAACCCACACAGCAGGCAGGGAGGAATCAGGGGTCACCCAGGGTGCCTGCCAGCCAGCCGCACACACCTTTCTGCTGTTCGTCAGGCCCTGCTAACCTGCTCACCACTCTGGGCTTTTCCCTTTTCTGCTGTGCAGACCCTTGTCGTCCTACCGCAACATGTGGGATGCACGGCCTGCGCTGACCACCCGTCTAACTGAGCCACGCCCACTGCACCCCTCTTCTCCCAGACCCCAGCCCGGGCCATGGAGGCTGTGGGCCTGGGCCTCTCTGCTCAGACGTACCTCTGTCACAGGACCTCCTGTGGCCACACTGGAGACCGACTGCTCTCCTCCAGCTCTTTCTTCTCTCCCCATTCTCTGCGTCTGTCTGACAACCGACGTACCTAATGATTCGCTCTCAGTCCCTCTCCTCCCCTAGGATGTCACCCCCATGAGGAAAGGATTATCATCAGTTTTATTCACTGTCATAGCACCAGCGTCTAGAAAAGTGCCTGGTACACAGTAAATGTTTGATGACTGACTGAATGAATGAGGGTACATGACTGTGTAAGAGCAGGGGTTCTAGCCAGACTGCCTGTGGCTTTACCCCAATTCTTCCATTTACCATGCGATCCTGAACCATTTACTTCACGTCTCTGTGCCCCAATTAAATTGATCAGTAAAAGGGGATAACAGCAGTGCCCACTCCATAGGATCGCTGAGGGATTCAATAAGATCAAGATATAAAAAGCTTAAAATGGTGCCTGGCTCCTAGGAAGGACTCAGTTCCATGCTGGCTGCCAGCACAGCCCTCACTGCTAGCATTTCTTGCATATTTACATGGTCATTTGTTTATCAGCTGCCTCTCTCTACGCCAGTGTCAGCTCCAGCCTGCCTTGTTCACTACTCTGTCCCCAGTCCCTAGCAAAGTGTAGGAAGAGGAAAGCAGGGCTCCCCCCAGGGAACCACGCAGACAGCTTTAAGCCTCACCGATCTGTTTCTCCAGGGCAGCTGCTTCACAGACTGTGGCCCGGGGCAGGATCCCAGGGTCCGTGAAACTCGTCTGCAGCAGGCAGCTCATGACAAAGAAGAAGAGGATGGCAGCAATGATGGGGATGGCGAGGGTCAGCTTGTTGGCTAGGTAGGGACAGCTACAAGGAGAAATGGAGAAAGCACGATTAGCAGATATCCCAAAGGCTCCTGGGCTTCTCCCTGCATAGCCACCCCCACCCCCCATAAGTGCCTGGGTCAGACATCACTAATCGATCATTATACACACACCCCTAGCCCCGGGCAGGTGTGACCAACAGATCCCAGCATTCTTTTTCTCTCTTCTTTTCTTCTTGAGACAAGGTCTCCCTATGTAGTCCAGGCTGGCCTTGAACTTGTGATGATCCTCCTGACTCAGCCTCCCAAGTGCTGGGATTACAGGCCTGCACCATCATGCCTGACACCAGCACTCTTTCTTTTTAAGAGACAATTTCAGGGTTTCATTTTGCTATGTTGTTTAGACTGGCTCCAAACTCCTAGGTTCAAGCAATCCTCCCACCTCAGTCTCCTGGAAAGCTGGGTCTATAGTTGCACCCCTGTACCAGCTTTGACCCCAGCGCTCTTAACCCCAGCATTTATCTGAAGCCTCCAAACCCCTCTAAACCCAGAGCTCGAGGCAGCCACTGGCAATGAGGTGGACCGTGGCCACCTGGGATGAACCATCCACGGCAACGCTGATCGACTCACTCATTCAGTCACTCCCTCCACAAATATTTACCGGGTTCTCTTTTGTGCCAGGCAACACTTTCAGTAAGCAGCAGGAATAATGGCCACAAATAGGACACCAGTCCCTCCCCCGTGCGGCTCATGGTCTAGTGGGGAAGAGAGACCTGTGAACAGGGAATTGCCACTCGGGGTGACGCGTGCTCTCTCAGGGGAGGGAAGACAAGGAGAGGAAAGGTTCCTTGAAGGAGATAATGCAGAAGAACAAGCACAGGGGTGAGTTCAGCCACTACCACTGTCACCGGGGATGTAACCCTAATGGGGTCTGTTGGGGGCCTCTGGCCCGAGCTGGTTCAGGGAACAACCTATGCCTGCTGGATGCCCAGGCCTCTTCTCTCCCAGGCAGGCGGCCGAGCACAGGGCTCCACATCCTCTTCAGGCCCCCTCCTCCATCTCCAGGCTGGAACATTCTACACATTCCGTACACGGTAGGGGCATGGCTTAAAGATGGAATAAAGCCATCAGGGCCCTCTGAGGCCAGTCTTCTCTGTTGTCACTCCATTGTCCACCTAGAGGCCAGAGGCACATTTTGGAAATGTAAATGAGATCTTTGCCTGACACTCTTAAAAGGCTTCCCATTTTGGGGCTGAGGATTTAGCTCAGTGGCATAGCACCTGCCCGGCAAGCGCGAGGTCATGAGTTTGATTCCTGGTACCGGACAAAAACCAAAAAAAAAAAAGCTTCCCATTTTATATATATGGTGGGTTTGGGGGGAGTTTTGTTTGTTTTGCAGTACTGGGGATTGATGCAAGGATGCTCTACTACTGAACTGCACCTCTAATCCTGTTTACTTGCTTACTTGCTTAGTTGTCTGTTTGTTTGTTTAGTGGTACAGGAGACTGAACCCAGGGTCTTTGAACTAAGCTATATCTGAGCCCTTTTTTAGACACAGTCTCCTGTAAATCACTATATTTCCCAGACTGGGCTAGTGCCTGCAATCCTCCTGCCTCAACCTCTCAGAAGGCTGGGATTACAGGAATGTGCCACTATGATCCACTTCCAGCCCTTTTTTATTTTGAAACAGGATCTCAATAAACTGTCAAGGCTAGCATCAAACTTGCCATCCTCCTCTCTCAGCCTCACAAGTTGCTGCAATCACAGGAATGTACAGGGCTGGGGATTTAGCTCAGCGGCACAGCGCCTGCCTGGCAAGCGCGAGGTTGTGAGTTCAGTTCCTGGGAAAAAAAACCAAAACAACAAAACCGGAAAAAAAAAAAAAAAAGGAATGCACAACTAAGCTCAATCTCACTAAATTTTAAATAAAACTCAAACTCCATATCACAGGCTTCTAGGCCAGGTATGATCTGGACCCTCCTGAAAGTTTCTCCAGTGTCATTCCATGAAACTCTCCCCACCCCCTCTACTCCCGTCACAATAGCTTCAAGGCAGGTCTCAGTGACTCTTGCACCTCAGGGCCTTTGCACTTGCTGTTCCTTTTCTCTCGAATATTCATCCTTTTTCGGAAGAACCTTCCTTGACAACTCCATATACAGCAGACCTCCCTAATACTCTTTATTTCCTGCATGTTATTTACTAAAACATTAATTGCTGATGCGTTGGGTGCCTTTTCCCAAGGACACAAGTTCCTCTGAGGGTACAAACTCTACCTTCTTGTTCACTTTACATTCCCAGCACACAGCAAGTGAGCACCCGGATCAAGAAGGTACCCAGTAAATAACTGAAAAACGAACAAACCACGTTCATTCTTGCCACAGCACGGAACATAGCTACCATCCTTTACGGGCTTACTATGTACCAGACACTGCTGTCATCCCTAAGTTATTATTGACAACATCTGAACTACAGTTACCGTGTGCCAGATTTTACACTGAGCAAGTCACATGCACATTCTCATCATCTCTTTACCATGGCCCTCTGAACTTAACGCTCCTCACTTTACAGATGGGAAAACGAAAATTCAGAGAGCCTAAGTAACCTGCCCAACATCACACAGCTCAGGAGTGCTGAAGTGGTTTTCCAGCTAGGTCTGGTTTTGAGGCCCATTATATATATCCCCCCATACCCTACTTTAACTGCTGTCCTTTGCTACCCTTCCTCTGGAGCCAGAGCGGACCTGATGGGTGGGGAGCTGCTGGTTGAAAGATGACTGCTGAGAAGACTGAGACAGCCAAGGTTCCAGGAGCCAGCACAGAAGCAGGCAGCAAACCCAAAAGCCTCCATCTTCAGATGCCCTGGCGTGCAGGGAGGAATAGCCAAGGCCCACGCCGCCCAGTGGCCACACTCGCTCCACACTTCTCACTGCTCCTCGCTCTGACCCCCAAACAGAACCAGCCCGGTGGTGCGACCCGCAGGGCAACTCATCCAGTTCAGTACAACCGAACACCTCTGCCAGGTGTGGTGGTGCACGCTTGTCGTCCCAGCACCCGGTGACTGAGAGAGGAGGGTCATGAGCTCGAGGACTGCCCAGGCCACCTAGCAAGTTCGCAGCTGACCTGGACTATAGCTCGAGGCCCTATTTCAGAACAACACAAACAAACAAAAGCAATCAGAGTTCTTTTGGGGAGGGAGAAGACTTAAAATCTGAGACTTAAAGGGCTTCCAGGAAACATCAAGCCATAGCTTCCTGATTTTCCCAAGGGGGACTCCTGGGCCCACAGCTGAACTGAAGATCACTAGCCAGCCAATGACAGAGCTCCCAGCAAATGATCTGTCCATTCATTCAACAAGTATTTGCTGTACCGAGCACCCACTACATACCAGGCACTGGTTCTAGGCACTAGAGGTACAATAGTGAGAATACCCTGCTTTCACGCACAAAGACAGGCAAGAAACTATCAAACAATATATACACAGTGCAGATGCACAGGAGGAGTAGCATGAGGCTACCAGAAGGCAGAGTATTCAAAATAGTGCAAAGGCCCTGCGGCAGGAGTGTTCAGCAGCCTGATAAACCTGGAGGGGAATGTGCAGCAGTGGAGTTGGGGCAGACAGAGCGGGACCAGGGTCAGAGGAAGCCCACTTTCAGAGTCTAGCTCTGGAGAGTGGTGAGGACTGGGGTCTGACTTAGAATTAAAGCAACACACTGGCTGCTGTGTGGGGGTGGGAAGTAGGACAGAAGCCCAGGGCCCTGCTGGGAGGCCTGTACAACAATCCGCCAAACTAACAAGGAAGCAGGGAAGGTCTGAGCGAGCAACTTGCACCATCTCTCATCCTCCTGGTCCCCAGTAAGGGCATTTCCACCACTCCGCATCCTCACTGGGCTTTAGTACCAGTCTGGACCCAGGGGAACTCTAGGCCCCAACCAAACCCTACTGCAAAATCTACCATCCAAGTGAGGAAAAGAAGAGATAAAAGGCAAAATGATTTACAAGCTCTCACCTTACTTCCTCCCTGGATGGGGGCAAATCAATCAGTGGTAAAGCCAGAGAAGGTCCAGCTTCTGAACTGACTGAATCTCACACTGCAGGGCCACAGGGCCAACCACAGCAAGTACTGCTTCCTCCTGCCTCGGCTACAGCCCAGAGGTGGGTGGGCTGTGAAAAAGCTGCTTCCACAACACGGCCCATGAGGCTGGCTGGGCCAGGTGGATCTGAAACCCAGCACAGAGGTCATGCTATGGGCTGCGGGCACCAGAGCTTCTGCTTGCAAATCATCCCTGAACTTTTTATACACCCTGACTCAGAGAGCAAGAGAAGAGTAGTGGAAGGTGAAAAGGAGAAGCCGATTTATAGGAAGGCTTCACCTTGCTTCAAGGGGAAACCCGAGGTTGCAGACACATGATCTGGCAACTGGGAGCTGGTGTCTCCGTGGTATCTCACCATGGACACACGCCCTTGGGAAGTGCTTTTTGGTGAACACAACAAGTAGAGCAGCAAACCTGTTAAGTGCTTGTTCCCGGGCTACAGCGCGCATCTATGGCCTCATATTAACCTCACGATGACCGAAGGGCGTGGGCATTACTAAAGGCTTCCGCTTACAGATGAAAAGACTGGGCCCCTGAGAAGTAAAGTGACTGCCCGGAGGTCACACAGTTAGTGGGTGGTGCAGCTGGTCTGCTGACTCGAGAGACAGAACTCTCGACTGCACTGCATAATAGAGGAAGGTGACCACAAGGGACGGGGAGAGCGGGGAGGGGAAGCTGGGGCTCAGGGGTGGGTGTGCACGCGTGGGTGCGAATGTGTGCCAAGGAAACAGCCGCAGGTGGCTGCGGTTGAGGGGTGTGGAAACTTCCAGCGCACCTCTGTGGTCCTGATAAGCAAAGTGATAAGCATCTGTAATCCCTGGTCACTGGGAAGATGAAGAGGTCAAAAATCCATGGGGGCAATAGGACCTGTCATTACGAAAGCACTGCACGGTTTCCTGAAGAATCGCAAGGCACTGCAGCTGTCTGCGAGGTGCAGCGGGCTACAGGGCTGCT